AACAGCAATTATATTTCACTACCTCCCAGGAAAGCTGTGAGAATAAAAGCTCAAGTACCATCTCAGGGAGATTTAATTAAGTACCTTGGCAGATAGACAGTCCGTACCCAGCACCTTTCTTTCATGTTTTTCCCCACCCAGAGGATTTTTTTTTCTCTGTGAAAAAAAGACACTAAAACTGTACAGCGTCTGTTTACCTCAGGGCACTCCATTCCACTGAAAAGAAATCACAGCACTTCAAGGACGACCTGAAAGTAATTAGTGAGGTTTACTTTGGAATGACTAAACAAACTGCGTTCCACCCACTGAGCATCATCTGAGCGTCTTCTCATTACACGATTCATTTATCTCTTTGTTTACTGATGCCGTGCGGTTGCAGCGGCGACATCGCTGCGGTGCCGGCGGAGGGAGCGGGGGCGGCCGCCTGCCCCCAGCCCACCCCGAGCACCAAGCGACCCACCCGGGCAGAAGGCACCGCTGCGGTCCCAGCAGAGCTGGCAGCCTGCAGCACAGCTCCGATTGAGAAGCTGTATCAAACCTGTATTTAAAACAGAAAAGTGTAAACTATTAGCTGCTCTAGGGAACAGGAATCTTTCAAAAAGCTGCCTGATGCGACAGGCACATTGAATGAATTTTTCCTCATTTAGACTTGGGAAATTTAGCTGTTGAATTTTCTCCCTCTGGACAAGGCTCAAGCACTGAAACTTCCCATCTACTCCCAGCTGCTTTCAACTCTGAAGGGCAAAGCAGAGACATTTTCCTTTTCAAGCCAGAAATCTCATTATTGCACCAGCAAACCTTGGTTTAGGTTTTGCTGTAATCTGTGTGCTCCCTCTGTCCTGCGGCACAGTCCTCTGGGGACCCTGGCCTGGGAGGAGAGAGGATGCTCTTGGAGGCACGGCTGGTGTCCCTGTGGGTTGCTCTCTGGATTCCTTTGTGTTTTCTGAAGCAGAAATGGCTCAAAAGTGGGAGCAGGTTTGGAGCAGCACTTTTTCTTGAGCAGCTCTCGCGACCTTTCCCTGCCAGCATGGGAGGCCTGTGCTCAGCACCAGCAGCGGAGCTCGGAGAAGGACGGACAGAGGCACGGAAAAGAAGCCAAAAAATGCACCTTTGGAGCATCATGGGAACTTTTGCATTAGGAAAATGTTTAATGTAATGGCTTTGTATTCTCAGTATTTTTCTTATGCCCTCTTATGAGGTCTTTATATACCTCATAAATATGAAATACAATAATATGCAGGGACCTGTAGGGACAAATTTATTCAGCTTTTCAAGCTCAATACTCCAGTAATGAAAGCATTTTCTTTACATCTTCATGGGAACAGACAGGGACAAGCATTTTAATATGTGTACCTACTAAGATGGTGGTAACAGCCTGGTGATAAAGACTCCATTATTACTATGATCTGGCTCATCGTTAAGTACTGCCCAGTAATGAAGATGAATCATGTCTTTAGAAGCCATTTCTTTAAAATTAGCTTAAATAAAGGTGCAAGAGAGAGCAGCCTTGACCATGGCCACTTTTACATACTGTACAATGAAACTGACTGCTGAATTATTTGCCTTATCTTTGTCAGACAGGAAAAAGTCCCTGCAGACAAGTACTGGGATGGTACCACGAACCCACCAAGTCCAGTGACTCAGCCCTAACAGGCGACTTGGCCTCCCTGAGCAAAGGCGGTGCAGTCCCTGATTTTGTCAGAAAGACCATGCTGGCCCGTGTTACTGGTCGTGAGAGACTTCACTGAGCGAGAAAGGTGAAGAGCAAGTGAAACACCGTCTAAAAATGAACCGTAGCAGTGACCCATGAAAACGCTCATAATCTGCTGTTTTAATGTTCCCAGGTGCAATGAAATCCCTAAAAGCTTACAGATCCAGACCCAGCAACTCTCCTAAGAGACCGATTAGCTGCACTGGTGAGGTGCGAGTTTATATTTAAAAAATGCACACAGTGATGCCCAGGTAGATTACAAAGTCAGGGACAGGAATTGAGTCAGATTACGAATGCTGGGCTGCGTGACTAGCATCTGGTGATAGTGTTGGAAAATTCTAACTGAGAAGTTCAGACCTTTTCTTATTTTACCTGTCAAACTGCTATCAAATGTACATATTTTTGGGTTTTTTTGAAGTGTGTGCTTTGATTCTTTGGTATTTAGATTTGCTAGACTACTGGCCAAACAAGGACCTGAACTTTTATGGTACAGCTCTGATTTCTTTCATAGAATCATAGAACGTTTAGAGTTGGAAGGGACCTTAAAGATCATCCAGTTCCAACCTCCCTGCCCTGGGCAGGGACACCTTCCGCTAGACCAGGTTGCTCAAAGCCCAGTCCAACCTGGCCTCGAACACCTCTGGAGCATCCACAGCTTCTCTGGGCAACCTGTGCCAGTGTCTCACCACCCTCAGAGTAAGAAGCCCTTTGGCCCTCATCAACACTTAGTCTACATTAGATCTAGTCAGAAAATAGGTCTTCAACTCAATTGAAATTTCAACAATTTGACATTTCTTTTTGACACAAAAAAGCACCAAGAATGGAAATGCTAAATCATGTCACAAAAATGAAAAGTTCCAAAAATTTCTGACTCAAGGACTGTCAAAGTGAGAAAGCCAAAAATCTTCCATAGAAAAGAAGGTTGACTCTGCGCAATACAAATGAACGTGTTTGAGAAAGTACATTTCTCCTGTGGTTTCTCGGTTTGACTTAGAGGAGCCGGCACAAATGTTAAGTTATGATTCCTGATGAAAAATGAAGTCTGCTAGAAGCAGCTCAGAATGTTTGTAAGTGGATAATAACTGCAGCAAAACAGCATGTGATTGCTTAAGTGTTTGAACCTTTGACAGAATAAATCAGTTCTGCAAAGAATACCGTAGTATGAGAAGAGCATGCCTTTGGCACACGGGGCGTTTCACAACCGTGGGATTTATGCGTGTGCATCTAAATGCTGCTCTGCCAAGTCATCCTTCTAACTCATGACAAAGAAATGAAAGGGAACATCGGGAAATGCGCACGTAAGCACACAGCGAAGGAGCTCCAGGATGAAGCCCTGCCTGTTTCCACAGCCTCTGCAATGCCACTGTGGAGATGCTGGTGGGTGCTCGCCCACCCCGGAGCCGGTCAGCGCAGGGTCCCAGCTGCACGTGTCACACAGGTCGCGTGTGTGCATAGATGTACGTATATACACACAGTGGCATTCACCACCAAGCCACCAGCAGCGATTTCTGACAGCCAGCGTCTCCAGAAGACGCACGTAGAAAAAAGGTTGCCATTTCTCCTTTGGTAGCAGGAGCCCTGCCTCTGATCTCATGCGTGCCACAGCCCTCCACCGTTACGGTTGTAAGTGGTGTGTTTGTGATTTACCATCCTCCAAATAATATCCTGACTGAGTTGATTGGTATCCTTACACAACAAAAACAATGAAGAAAAAGATGAAACGGCCCACCTGTTGGTTCATGCTCTGACCTCGCCGCGCACCCAGCTCAGCCCCTGGGCGGGGTAGGGGTATGGGGTGGCTGTGGGGCAGGAGAAAATGGGTCTGGGGATGCTGAAGAAGGGCAGAGAAGCCTGGTGACATCTCTGAAGACACATACGACAAGAACACTTATGGCAAAAGACATTCTGCGTCGCCAAACGAATGCTGGGATGCTGAGTCTGTCAAAACCATGAAGAAGTTAGTTAACTTTTGTCTTCCATCCCATATGCAAACTTGCCTGTTCCCCACACAGCCCCTCCTGCCCACCCAGCAGCCCGGTGCAGCCAGACACCCCCACCCCAGGGTGAGGGGGACACTGCGGGAAGGCAGCACCGAAAGGCTCTTCCCATCCGCGTTCCTGAGCTTGGAGCCTGGGCTGCTCCGCAAATGACTGTGTTTGCAAAGGAATGGAAGGAGAAGAATAGGGATTTCCACCCACGTTGCTGCTCTTTGTTCCTGCTCTCCCCCGCTCCTGGCTCTGTGCACAGAAGGCTGAGCTGTGGCAGGAGTCTCCCTGGACATCCAGCAGCACCCTGAAACTTATATTCTCATCTTCAGGTTGCATTTCACTTTTTACGCTGTTCTCTGTGGCACGAGGGAGCGAGAAGGGGACAGTGCCAGGCACAAAGCTGGGAGCTCTCTGGAGGCAGAAATCCTCGCATGTTCTCTGTCTGCTAAAACTCTGGAACGGAGAGAAAGAAAGATGCTGCAAATCAGTAAAGATGCTTCACCCCACAAGCTGCTGTGCTGGGTACCCAGAAAGGAGGAAGAGGAGAGAGGAGACAGGGAAGATCAGGGCACATCCACTCTCTCTGTATTTTGCTGCTCTGCTAGATCTGCACGTCAGATTCTCCCATCGTTTATGTGTGGGGTTGCAATACACCTCAGGAGAAAACTAGGAAGAGATACACTATTGGCTATTTCATATGCGGTGTGTCATCTGGCAGGCTGTATATATCACAGGGAAAGCAGGGACCACTCAGCCTCTGAGCAAAGCTGCTTCAGTGTATAGCTCAGAGATACTTTGAGGATGGAAAGAAAAGGGAAAGGCAGCCCTTGCTTTTCTGATTCTGACAAGCTCTGAAAACTCTTGGGAAATGGAGACCTGACAGATGAAGGACGATGTGGAAAACCAGTAAAGCAAATTTCCAAGGAGAAGTTGTGGGAGAGAAGCGGAACAGCGCCCAAAAGGAAATATTCACTAGGATTTCTTCCTAGGTACAGAGAGAAAGTGTTTGGGGATCTTTGATATTTCAGCATCCGAATCAGCTATCAGCTTCTGTACATAGGACACACAGGACTGAAAAAGGAAGAGCAGCTGGAGAGTCCCTGGAGCAAAGCTCACATGTAGTCAGCTCAGGAAGAAGGACCCATTTATCAACTCTTTCATGTAGTTTGCAGCCACGGGGCAGATTTTTAAAATGCAAGCGTGTGTGTTCCCTCCTGCGACCACTGGCTTTAGCAGCTGAGCTGCTTGGAAGGAGGGCAGAGAGGAGCGTGCAGCCTGCCCAGGGATGCAGGCAGTGTTACAGTCATGAGTAGGCACACGTGGTTCCCTTTGCAGTACATCTCCAAGCCCTACTGGAGAGCAGAGAATCACAACACAACCAACTTCTTCTCTGCGCTGTACGGCTTCCCTAACCAATCCTTCTTCCACAGTGATTTGGACCTGGAGGACCTGGGGGACTTTGATAGCGGGACCAAGTATGAGGGTGAGTCCCAGAGCCGGACGGTGAAGGCGCTGCTGATAGTAGCCTACTCTGTGATCATCTGCATCTCGCTCTTCGGCAACATTCTGGTGTGCCACGTGGTGATCAAGAACAAAAGGATGCACTCCGCCACCAGCCTCTTCATTGTCAACCTAGCCGTTGCAGACGTGATGATCACCATTTTGAACACCCCCTTCACGCTGGTGAGCATCTGCCTTGCCTGTGTTTTGCTGGTGTCTGTGTGTGCCTGTCAGCTCTGTACATGTCTATTGAACGGGCCAGTAAAGGGCTAATATGCAGAGTTTCTTTTTTCCCCCCGCTCCCCCCCCCTTTTCTTCCTGGAGAAGCAGCAGTCATGCCCCCCCCTCTTATTTTCAGTTACTAAGTAATATAAGACATTAAAAAATATATTAAAAGAATGAGGTGGGAAGACTTAAAGGGATTCATTTCTTGCCCCACTATCACAATCTACAAGCAACATACAAGTAGGACTATCTGTATAGCTGAATTTCACACAGTCCTCTGGTTCGAGAGCATCCCAAATATTCCTGTTTCAGCCCTTGCCCAGAGCTGTCCACAGCGTTTTCTTCTGCATTCCAAAGGCAGTTCCTGAATTATCAGTTTGAATTCACCTTTTCTTAAACTGAGCCTGTTTCTTTGGTGGGATTTCTCTGCCTTGCTCTGATGGGATTTGCATCCCGGAATCCATTCAGGGAAAGGACAGTGCCCTCTTGTGTATTTGCACAACAGTCACACATGAGGCACAAGTAATTAAACAACTGTAATGTCACTTAGGAAAGAGCTTTACATCAACTTCAAAGAAACAACACATTGCTACACATTCAGTGACAGTCATTACTACTCGAGTTGTCTCTATAGGGAAATTAATTAGATTAACTGGAAACAGATTAGCTAGTCTTGACTAATTTTCCGAGTGGACAGCTGTTTTGTAGTAAATGTGCTTTATTTCAAATTAGCTGAATCTGCTTCCAGAATGAGTTGCATTAATGTGGAACAAATATTGCGCAGTCAGGAATAAGAGGGAAGTGAGACAAAAAACGTTATTTGGAATAATCTCCTCTGCAGAAAAGCCACAATAAGTAACACCTCTTTGGAACTCGTAAGAAATGCCACACCGCCCTTGCCACTGCACTCTCAGGGGGGCTTTAAATGCTCCCTGCCTCCCTCCCCTCCCAAGAGCGGCTGCATTTCGTGCCCAGGTGGAGATGGCTCCCGTACCTGCAGAGGTCAGATCAATGAGGAAGGTTGTGAAGTGTGAGTTGCTTTTCCAACAGGAGGGTAAAATTTTCCTCTCTGTTTGTGTAACTTAATTGACACCTCTGAAATTGCTGTTGATGTATCTTACACAACGTGACGAGAGGAGAGTTGGGCTTAGAAATCGGCGTGTGAGCAAGACCCTGCCACCCAGCTCCACGTCCTGTTTCTGTGCGTGGGTGGTAGCTGCAGACCCCGGGCAGAGGAGCAGAGACACAGGGCAGGTAGGCAGGGATGCTCCACAGACAGACAGTCCCTAACCCAGAGCTGTTACCTCCCTATTTCAACGCCCTCAATGATTTTTTCTTCTATGAACTTATCTCACTAAGTTTTGAACCCATGCAACTTTCAGCATCCACAAATTCAAATGTCTTAACAATGACAGCTGTGCAAGTGTTTTTAAGGAGGCAAGTTACTGTTTTTCCCTACAGTGCTGAGCAAAGATTTCTTTACGTTTTCCAGAAGGGCCATGTTACATGTGCACCTGCACGTGCAAACACACATACACAGAGCGCTACTCAGAGGGATTTGATTGCTCGGTATAATAAATCTCACCTCTGTTTCAAAGCTTCTTGCATAGTCACTGTTTCCCCAGAAAAAAAATGAATATAATGCCTCTACAAAGCATGAGGAAACTATATTAATGCATTTTATTCCTGACCATAGTCCAGGGAAGCCTATTTGCTACTCTTCAGATAATGCACACTGTTTTAACCCAATTCTGTGTGTTTTCAGGTGCGGTTTGTAAGCAGTACCTGGGTGTTTGGAAAGCTGATGTGTCACATAAGCCGGTTTGTTCAGTACTGCTCCGTTCATGTGTCTGTGCTGACCCTCGCTGCCATCGCTCTGGATCGGCATCAGGTATGCGATATAAATCACCCCTATGTTTGCTAGAAAATAAGGTGCTAAATATATAGTTTTCCCCCCTTCAAATCCCAGTAGCTGAGAACCTGCATTGTCTTTGGAGTCAAGGAACGGAGCGGACTCTAGCTTTCATGGTGGTGGACAAAAACTCTACGTTTTTTTACAGTGAGAGTGATCAAACACAGGAACGGGCTGCTCAAAGAGGCTGTGGAGTCTCTGTCCTTGGAGATATTCCTGACCAGAAAGAGCCCTGGGCAGCCAGCTCTAGCTGGCCCCGCTTTGCACAAGGAGCTGGGCTAGATGATCTCCAGGGGTCCCTGCCCTCCTCAGCCACTCTGTGGAGTTTTGCCCTGAAAGCACAGCAGGAATATATTTTGAAATTCAAACACCAGCAAGCCAATACATTATCCCAGCATTTATTTGTGAAGAATCTTACAGTTTTTAGGCTTGCCCCATTATTTTGGGATGCCTAAGACTGGAAGTAGTGAGAACTGTGTGACCACAGTCAGTTCAAGGTGAGACATTCTCCTCTCCTCCCCCCCCCATACTTTTTTGGTGAATCTCAACCAAAAAACGCTGGTGGTCAAGCAATGTGTGCAAACCAAAGGGTTTCCTTGAAGTATAATGCAGTTTGTAGTTTTCGCTCAAGCCGAGAAATGCTGTGGACCAGGAGAGCAGATCCTGCAAGGTGTGCTCTCAGGCAGACTGTGTATTTTTCTTGCAGTGCTGGTGTCACAGAAAACAGTTGTTACTGAAAAACAATTTCACATGATAAATGACACGGCTAGATGAAGTTCAAAACGATAATGGATTCCACTCTGATCATCTGGGATGTGCTCCATCTGGTGTCAGAAAATTACAGTGACGCCTGTGTATAGATCATCTATTTCTGTCTTTTTTACCGCAAAAAGTTTAGTGGTCTGCCCATTCTATGTGCAACATCACAGCTCCTGAAAGCAAAGCATTTGGATAATGATTCATTTCAATCAGTAGATTCTGGGTTAATTGCAAAGCATGGCTGGGTATCAAGAAGTGTTTGTTTAACTAAGGGCAACCACAATACCTGCCTTTAAGTTCAGAGGAGTAGGTTCCTCAGAACTGGAATTAGCTAGTATGGACCAAGGAGATAAAAATAGAAGTAAGGAGATGTCACGGAGCAAAGAGAAATCAACACTTGCCTCTAAAAATATTGCTAGTCCTGAGAGGTACCAGAGCAGACAGATGCTCCAGAGGAGTTGCAGAAGCTCGATTAAGTAGATATTTATAATGAGACTAGAAAAGACATGCATAAAATACCAAAGGCTTCATCAGCCAAAAGATCATTTGGATGACATGATAGTTCTATTTTTAACTATTGTTTCATTGCCTGATATGATCATCCATAGTGCACGTCGCTCAACAGCTATCTAACCATCATGGTCTCTGAAGCCAAACTGATGGGTGACACTGAGCGTGTTTCTCTGCTCAGGGCACTGGGCCAGCAGTAACACTTAATACTTGCACAACTCTGCATTTTCCACTCCTCATACTCTCCAAAGTTCTGTAAAATGAGTCTTTCCTCTCTGTCTTTTGACACTGGAGGGATGCAGAGCTGCCTGCAGCGCTTTGAACCGCGATGTGAAGCTGAAAGAGTGACCCAGATGTTGTCAGATAAAGTAGCCGTCGTTAGCAGAAAACCCACCTGGACTCCACCACGCTGTAGCCAGTACTGCATGGGGTAAATGGTGAATATAAAAGAGACCAGCCTTCAAGTTTGTTAGTGCTATGTTGGCCAAAGATTACATTCAGCCGTGGTTCTCGAGCATCTTGTCACTGCGTCTTGCGAGTCCACCAAATGCCAAATGTGAGCCCCGTGGCTGCCGTCTATATTGGAGCCCTTGTCTGTAGTAATGAGGAGACTTTTTGCACTCCTTATTGTACAAGCCAAAACAGCCTCTTGGCTTTCAACTTGTGACACACGTAACGTCCATGCTGAGCATTCCTTGCTGTCCTGGGAAGCACACCCGCTGTTTGCTTCTTTCTCAGTGATCAGCATGAAATGCTTGCTCCTGGACATGGATAAAACAAAGATGCCTTCTTTTTTTCTAAAGCTTGCAGCTTGTTTTTGTCAATTGAAACCATTGTAAATCCTCAGGATTGGTTGTTTTCTGCAGGTTATCATGCACCCTCTCAAGCCACGCATGTCCATGGTGAAAGGAGGGATTTGCATCATTATCATCTGGGTTATGGCCAGCTGCTTCTCGCTGCCTCATGCCATTTATCAGACTTTGACAAGATTTTATATCGGGTAAGACATTTACATGGTGCTTTTTTTTAATATGATATATGCAGCTTAATCAAAGCCCCACAGATCCTAAGGCACAAATCTCTCCATCCGTGTTATTAAAAAGAAAGTATGGTGAAACAGGGAAGTCTTCCTTCTCTTTGACCAGGCGGTGTGTTTCTCACAAAAGCACAGTGAAAATCAATGGAATTGCTTTCAGGCTTGTTTGTCAGTTGATTTTGGCTCAGAGATTCAGCCCTGCAATTTGAGGCAGGCGCAGAGGAGAGGTGCTCTTCGCCATTAGAGGGCACAGATGTCAATATGGATTATTTTTTTCTTTTCCTGGGGATGTCCTTCAAATATCTTCATTGGGGCCAAAGGTCAAACTTAACGCAAAATTTTCTATTGAAAGTGACACTTCCTCATGTTACTGAATGAGTTCTGCTATCTGTACCTTCACTGAAACTCAGAGGAATGTCCGAGATGTCTGTCCTCCAGGTGTTGTGTGCATCTGGTAGTGGATTTGACAGTTCTTTCTCTCTCTGATCTTCAGGAACAGAACAATACGAATGGTCTGCCTCCCCAGCTTCCCTCCTCCTGCTGATCTTTTCTGGAAGTATTTGGACTTGACTACTTTTGTTCTCTTGTATGTCCTGCCCTTGCTTGTGATCTCCATCACGTATACCATGGTGGCCAAGAAGCTCTGGCTCAGAAATGCCATTGGGGACCTCACCATGGAGCAATACTATGCCCATCAACGGAAAAAGAAGATGACGCTGAAGATGCTGATGGTGGTGGTGATTGTGTTTGCAGTATGCTGGTTCCCCCTGAACTGCTACGTGGTGTTGATCTCCTGTAGGGCCATCCACAGCAGCAACGCTCTGTACTTTGCCTTTCATTGGTTTGCCATGAGCAGCACTTGCTACAACCCCTTCATTTACTGTTGGCTGAACGAGAACTTCAGATCTGAGTTGAAGTCCTTGCTGTGCGTGTGCCGGCGAAGGAGTGCAGCCCAGAGTCATGCTCTGCAGTCCATCTCCCCCGCTTTTAGGCATGCCTGGGTCGAGAACTGCCATTATAAAAGAGGCAGTGCCTGCCAGAAGGCCAGGGTATCCTCCCAGAGGAACTCTGCAAAGACAGACATATCCAGTGTTCAGCCAATTGTGGCAGAAAGCTAAACCCTTCAGCTGATGGCCAGGCAGCATATTGCAGAATTATGGGAAAAACTGAGTTGGCAAGAACTGCTGGAGACCATCTAATCCAACCTTCTGCCCAAAGCAAGCTAACTTCAATGCTCGATTGTTGTTCAGGACCCTCTTCAGTCAAGTTTTCAAAAATCTCCACAGTCGGACTGCCCACATGTGGGCTCCAGAATGAGGGATGTCGAGTTACTTTTTCTTCAGAACAGTCAGCAAAAATTGAGAGAACTATTTAACAGCGCACAAAATCTTTCACAGCCTAAGCAAATAAGGGGAAAATTAGTAAAAATTACTAAAAGGAAAATTGGTTCTGTTTTACCTCAAACCAGGACACCTACACTGATTACACACATGCCAACTGATGCACGCTGTTTTAAAATAGATGGCTGTTTATGCATGTAGAAACACTGTATTGATTCCTTCTTTTTATATATTTGTAACTTATTCATGATGAATAACATTTATAGCCATTCTCAAATTTATACGCAGGTTAGAAGCAGGGCAACAAAAGCTCACTCCATTTTTGCAGGTGTTCTTTCAGTGGCTTGTTTTGTTCTCTAAGGATTTCTAGCAGTCACCTTAAAACACAGCTTATACTGCAATCTGTGGTCAAGAAAGAAATTACGCAAGTGAGTTTATTCTCAAACACTAGCTAGCTGAGGAACCAACCCTTTCTTAAAACATATACCACCTGTCATTAGGCTAAGGACTAAACTAATGCCCGCTCACCAAACACCACCACCCACCCAATAAATAGAAATGGTTACAGAGGAATTTTTTATTTTTGCACTTTCTGCCAGATTTCTTTTTTGATGTATTTCTATTGTCTACATAGGAGATACTAAACTGGAAGTCGGATGTTGACTGTCAAAATCATTTTTTTGATTTTGTACCAGTGGAGACACCAGTTTGGGTCTAATAACCTGACAGTTATGTCCATTGGTCCCAGCAGGTTAAGCTGGTTGACTTCAGGGCAGCTCCGCAGGCCGGATGGCAGCGGCCCGTTGGGTACATTCAGAGGAGGCCCTCAGGGACTGTGGACTTCAGAAACCAATCTCCCTACCTCACCTTCCAAACCAGGGGCGGTCAATTGGCAGGCCAGGGATAGGAACTGGGCTGTGACCAGTTTCTCTACCGCTGGGAGCGCAGGCTCACTGTAGGCAAGAAAGTAGGGGGTACCGCTCTGTGTGTGAGGGACGGTGTGTTGCAGACTCACATAAGGGCTGTAAGGTCCACACAAACATGCTGCACAAATACGGCTCTTTACTGACTCTGTGAAAAACCTTGTGGTTAAGAATAAAAACAGTATGTAAGCACTCAGAGGTGGTACAGTCTGAATTGCCTTGCCAGGATGTATATAGAGGCAAGAGGGATGCTGGCCAGTAGGTACCTGTTCTGCTGATATATATATGTAGGGCTTTGTTATAGTCTCTAGGCTTTCCCTCAAGAATGTCTCACATCCTTACATTTCCTAAGCAAACTGTAAATTGGCACGTTTTGACATTGTTAATCGACATTTCTTCAGAGTGAAGTCTAAATTGTTTTCAGTTCCCATAATATTTTATCTTTTACCAGCCCTCAAGAACTGTGTCCTTCGTGGCGTGTCAGTCTGTCCCTCCTGGAGTCACCCCGCCGGGCAGCACCCATCGCTGCTTGGCACCCTGCTTTGCATGAGGTGCAACCTGCACACTCACGCTAAGCATTAGGAACAGGTCTGCAGTCTACAAAACCAAAAGGCAGGAGGCAGGAAAAGTTGGCACTAGATAAAAGAGTTCATTTGTAAACCTTTATACACTCCCCCGCTCAATAAAACTGAGCATCCGATAATGTGCCACAGCAATTGCCTCAAATACTGATACTTGCATTCCTTTTGCTGCTCTTGGTGGTGATCGAGTGCTTTCAGCAGTGTTTATCCTGTTGTGAGCTGTGGCTCCGATATGTAATGAAATAGCTGAGATTCCGCGGCATGTGGGCAAGCGGGCGTGCTGGACAGCCGGTGCAGGCAGCTGCTGGTCTGACTGGTCACAGTGGGAGCCAGCCCCAGCATTTCAGAGCTGGATTTGGATCAGCAGTGAGAAATACCAAGTGGGAGCATGTGGCCAGCTTCAAACTAATGGCTGTGAAAATTCACCAAAGCCGCATTTTTCTCTTCCTCAGAGAGGATAACCACTTTCCTTATTTGTGTCCATTCAGTGCTGGCTTGGCCTTTGTGATTGCGAAGAATTTAGCCTCAAAAGACAGTGAAAGGAAAATGAGCTTCATCCTTCCTATGCAAAATAATACCAATTATGCTTTTACAGCTTGGCAATTCCACGGAAGACTGGCAGTTTGCTACAGTTGCAAATCTGAGTGAAAGACTATTTGAATTTGGAAATCAAGATGCTTTGATAGTACGAAAATGTTACCGTGTGACCTGAGAATGTATTTGCATCTAAAAAAGAAACAGTGAAGCTGAGGAAAGAGAAGCATAACACAAATCTAGCTTCTTCCTAAGATAATTGGGGGAAGGGGAGAGGACAGAAGTGTACCAGCCAAGGAACAGAGACCTCATGTGGCTTGAGATACTGCGAAACACACCAGCATGTCCAGTGTGTGTGCTGCAAGTAGATGCTCCCCTCTTACAAAGGGTGAGCACTCGTCTCTCCATGTGCAGGAATCACTCTGCAGAAGGATGCGCTTAGGGGAGGAAATGGAACTAGAAAGTCCCTTCAGAGTACAGGCACCCAAGGATCAGATGTCTTTTCTGACTCACTGGCAAGAAATGTGTTTAACAGACTTTCTCCTGTGGGCTTTATCATGTGAACCTTTATTTTGTTTACACTAATAAAGAAGCGTAAGTGGAGATCTGAATGGAGCTGGCACAGTGGAGGCAGACACCTGAGTCTTTCATTTTATGTTACAAATAAGTAACAGCATAAACGTGGTATTACTCCTAAGTTGGGTTTTTTACTGTCTGGAAAACTTGGAATTCATACCACTGCAAATGGTATTTCCATAATGTAACTGTCTGGAGGGTCTCTGTAAACAAGATGTCTCTTGTTAAAAACCAAATAAACCGCAAACCCAAATACAACATTGTTAAGGTGAGTAATTTAGTGAAACATCTTCTCATTCAAATATTCTTTTCACATTGGAAAAATTCAATGAAATTAAATAATGCAATTTACATGTATTTCCCAACACATTCACAGAGAACTGCTAGAACTCATTACTCCGGAACAAATAAACCAAACAAAGTCTGCTCTTGTTACTCATCTTTTTAGCAGGGCAGCAAGCTGGGTCCGGCTTCCTTCAGCCTTTACACGAAGGGATCCACAGTGTACATCAAGGTCAAATCCACAGTCTGCCTGTGTGACAGCGGCGGGCGCGCAGAGACGTCCCTCACCTGGCGAGGTTTACTCTAAGGGACAGTTTGCTCCCAGATGGAAAGCTGACGTTTCTTTCCTAACTGCGCATCCTATGCTAGTCCTTACACAAGCAGCGCTTTCTTCAGTAAGAATCTGCAGTCAGCCAATGTTGAGCTTCCTTACAAAAATATTATTTCCTTGGGGTGATTGTCAAAAGCTTACATTTTTGTAGAAGTCTGGCAAACTTCACCATCATTAAATGCACCCTTCCGCTGGATGCTTTTACTTTAATATGAACTCTGTTAAAATTTCTGTGTGATTGTAATACAACAAGATTTGATTCACCAACATTTTTTTGGGGGCTGATAACAGCCAAATAAAGTATCTGTTTTAGGACCCTTTCCTTCCTGTGGGTTTTATTGGAAAAAACAGAATTAACTTTAAAGTTTTGGAAGGGAGAGATCCCCTTTTGATTACATGCATGAGGATTAACAGGAAAGCATAGACTGCTGCTCCTGACAGTCTCAAAACCACCACCAAAACTTATGTCTGCATGTGTTTTGACAGCTTTCAGCTTGAAAAGCCCTTTGTAAAAAGCAGAGCTATGATTACCCAGATGAGGAGTCAGCTGTGAACGTGTGCCGAATGTAAATGCCCTTTCATTCCCATGCATTTCATCGCAGCTCCATGCAGTAAGCAGTCGATCTCAGCAGCACTGCTCTTCACTTGGGTACCTCAATCCAGACAAGAGCACGGGCACATCTAACTTGAATTTAACTCTTGTTCTCCAATAAACACTTCCAGGAGCAGAAGCACGGGCTGATTTCTTGTGCCTTTCTCCCAAGTGCTCCTGCCAAGATTTCCAGCAACCTCATGGGTCCCCTTCCCCTCGCTGGGGACCTTGCTTTCTCCGTCACCTGCCACCAAACAAAAAGGGTGGGAAAGGTGCACTGCTGAGGCTGCCACAGCTCTGCCACGCTTCTTTGAAACTGGTTAATGAAGTCATATTTATTTGGGAGGAACTGCTTGGTAGCAACACACGCTGTTTGATGGTGCAAGACCTGGTCTCTTGGAGCAATGTTGGAAGTATGATACCGAATTCTCAGGCAGGCAGCCTGGTTACTGAAGTTGCTACAGCAATTCCCAGTTCCACACCTACTAGCAGTATGCCAAATATACAGAGCCCTACATCTCCATTAAAATAACCCTATAGCGTTCGAAGTGTTAACATTAGGTGACTATACCAAAAGAAAAGAGCATTTTATCATCATCTCTGAAGAGCTGTTTCTTATATCTCTCCTTTTGAAGAAACTTTACAAGCAGAATAATGAACTTGCAGCTGTGAGTCATTTAACCAGCTCTGATCAGCTTCATGCAGCTCCAGAAGGGTCACAAGACTCCCTTGCTTGAGAGGGGTCTGATGTGTGTAAATCTTTTAAGTCACTGAACACGGTGATGTGAATATAGACACCAACCGATGAGGCTAAGTACCCTGCAGCATCACAGCCAAGGCACCTTGTTCGTACTAGAAAGTGGTTCAGGCAGAATAAAGATCAGTCCCCTTCTGTACGACCTTGGTGCAAAACCCTTATAGAAAGAGTTAATGCAGCACAAAGATGGGAAGGTCTCCCATCTCTCCCCAGGAGAGAGAGAGCAGCAC